GTGGTGTTCACCATAAATTTAGGTCGATTGTGACGTCAAAATGACGTAAATTTGGCCAAAATCCGCCATGTTTTTGGCCACACATTTTTGACTGACGAGGTATTGGAGCACGATCTCCAGATATATTAAGTATAGCTCAGTGGCTGCTACCCTCAGTGGCTGCTACCCGATTTCCTTATTTGTGTGAGTTACCGCTGTCATATATACGGTGGCCCATACGGGCCAACCCTTCTCCGTAGAAACTTGCACCTTCTCCGTACAAATGTGTTGTTATTCCATGGAAATCCAACTTCTCCGTGGAATATTGCAGTTGTTCTGTCACAGAAAGCCTTTTCTCCGTACAAATATGCAGTTTCTCCGTGGAAACACGCATCTTCTCCGTGGAAACCACTGATCTGAAATAAGACTGGATAACGCATCTATAGTATACGAAAGTGAAGCCGGAAGTCACCGGCCGCCACCCGATTCTGGGGCCCCACTTTTGTATAGATTTGTATTACAGACGGTAGTTTTTCGCGTTTTTTGCCTTGGCTACGTTTCCGATCGAGCCAATTTTACAATCACAACGATAAAAGCATACAAGAAGAATTTTGAGCAAAAAATTTGGAGTATTATGGCTTTATAACGCCGCGAAACGGGATTTACAACTCTGAAGGAGTGGAGAGCCTCAGACTTTGTTTATCAACACGAGCTCGTTTTGCTACTTTCATACAAAATCAACTCAAAATATACAAGAATTATTGTTACTGGACGAATATTCTCACGAAATTTGAAGAAATGAAGCAGCTATATTGTGAACGAAAGCGTACAGAGGTTAGACTTTGTTTATCAACACGAGCTCGTTGCTACTTTCATACAAAATCAACCTAAAATATACAAGAATTACTGTTTACTGGACGAATATTCTCAGGAAACGTGAAGAAATGAAGCAGCTACATTGTGAACGAAAGCGTACTGAGGTTAGTTTTAAAATACCTCGAGGCTACTTTTATAATTATACGAATTTAATAAGGAACAGTTTTAAATGTTAATTTTGTCAAAAGCATTCCTAGGCGACTTGTCGAGAAGTTTTATATGTTTTAAAGTAGGAAGACAAGTGACAATGAAATATTTTTAATCCAAATTATAAACAACGACTCAATATGTTATTTTAATTCATATAATTATGGAAGTAGCCTCAAGGTATTTTAAAACTAACCTCTGTACGCTTTCGTTCACAATGTAGCTGCTTCATTTCTTCAAATTTCGTGAGAATATTCGTCCAGTAACAATAATTCTTGTATATTTTGAGTTGATTTTGTATGAAAGTAGCAAAACGAGCTCGTGTTGATAAACAAAGTCTGAGGCTCTCCACTCCTTCAGAGTTGTAAATCCCATTTCGCGGCGTTATAAAGCCATAATACACAAATTTTTTGCTCAAAAATCTTCTTGTACGCTTCTATCGTTGTGATTGTAAAATTGGCCCGATCGGAAACGTAGCCAAGGCAAAAAACGCGAAAAACTACCGGCTGTAATACAAATCTATACAAAAGTGGGGCCCCAGAATCGGGTGGCGGCCGGTGACTTCCGGCTTCACTTTTGTATACTATAGATGCGTTATCCAGTCTTATTTCAGATAAGTGGTATACATACTCATGCAAATTGCCATTCTCGTACCCAGAGCCCTTCTTACGCGCGTTCGACCGAGCCCGACGAGGGGCTCTGGCCAAATCCATAACCGGATACCATAAAAACATGGTATCCGGTTAAACACTGCGCATGCTCAACGTCAAACGCTGATAAACACTTCGGCTTTCTTGTTTGTTTCCTTTTGAAAGTTTTTCTCCAGGAAAACCCCACAAAAGCGGTAGGTTTCGCTAATTTTATTTATTTAAATCAATTAGTAGGTAAGACGTTATGTTCTCAATGCATGTTGATAAGAATTTAGTATATATTTCCCTCTTAAACGTTGCCAAAGCAGTATAAATGGCTACGGATACGAAGACGAGACTCACGAGAGATTGTCTCACTATTTTATATTCGATTTTAAGTCGCTGTTGTACGGAATTTTAGACTTTTTTGTGTTTTATTAAAAGTCAACAGTCATACATAAGACATATTATACTGCAAATCATTTGAAAATTGTAAAAAATCGGTTTCTAGAAAGAAAATAGCGATCACAGTTAACTTCATATTCTGGCTGGCTTTAATATTTTCTCTTCAGATGGCACGTCAGCTTTGAACATGTAACACATGAAATTAACATGAGCACAGATTTGTTTGATTAACATCACTGATTTGGAAATACGACGAGCATCTGCCATAAAATATGCTGACTTTTTGCTGTGAGAACATCACGTCTCAACCTATTAATTTCAATCAACTAATTGATTTAAATAAATAAAATTAGCGGCATCTACCGCTTTTGTGGGCGATTATCAACAACAATCTTCCTAACTGCTCCGTACTGCGGTTCTTTCAACTTTAATGTCTTTTCTCGCAATTTTATCCAAAACGAAACCAACGCTTCATGGAGCGCTTGATTTTTTTTCGTATTTTATATCCCCTCGTCGGGCTCGGTCGAACGCGCGTAAGAAGGGCTCTGGGTACGATAATGGCAAATTGCTTCATAAGAGAAATATTTTTGAAAAGCGCTCACTCAGCATTAAAGCATAGTTTCCATTTGGTCGTTAGTTGTCGCTGGCACGACAAGTGGCTGATGTAATAGAGTGTCAACAAAAAACTCTGCCGACTATTTCACATCTATCGCTTGTCGTGCCAGCGACAACTAACGACCAAATGGAAACTAGGCTTAAGTGTAAATTACAGGCTAGGAGTGAGGTCTTTTGAAAAGTAAAGAAATGCTACTCAAGCAGTTCTGCAGTTCGACTATGCGTTACAGGCAATAGGAAGGCTATGGTCAGCAACGTTCATATTATTTTGATTTATTTCACATTAAATTTCATTAATGTTTTGATGTAGTAGCTGTTTCCTGTACGTACAGATGGTGCAGTATTCAGTAATTTATATCAGGAATACAAAGCTAATCACAAAGAATTTTAACGCTACGATAGCTCAATTAAAGAAACGAATATAATTAAACTTGTCTCATCCAATATAAAGCGTTGAGTTGAACGAATGTGAACGGTCCAGTCGTCCAGTCAATGAGGCTATTCGTTCGTTCTCGTGCTTCCGTGCAGGTTAACTAGTAGACATAAATATGGAAACGACGACGACTCAGAGCATCGCTGATAAACACAGAAAAGTTTGAAAGAGCATAACAACAGCTTCACTTGTCTGTCAGTAAAATTATTAAAAAACTCTAATGCCAAAGAGCAATAAACAAAAATTTTAAGTCAGAATATTTCAAGAAATAATAAAGTTACGCAAAATCGGTAAAGGAGATTGACATATAATTTTAAAAGTTCTTTAAAATGAAATAATAAAAATATATATTGCCGTATCCCTTGAATATTTGCAATGACGCTTAGCTTAATTCATCAACTTTCCCACTCAGAGTCGAACATTAGTGATTAAAACACTTGGTAACCCTTGGTCACCGTCTGGGTGATCTCGTGGGTGGCCAGGATGGCATGATGTAGCCGGACATGACGTTTCATTGGGTTTGTAAACACAGTTAGCTAGAGCATATTGTGCTAGTCAATTTGGTATTTTCGATGTCAACTATGTAATAAATACTTAACATACTATATATTGGGACGAGAATGGAATGGAAACGGCTGCGAAGGACGTGTATGACTTGAAGGGTGATGCAATCGACAGTCAAAATATGATGCATAAATTACAGGGTAGAATGAACAATGACAACAATGACAACAATGATTGATTGATTGATTAATTGATAATAGCATTTAGTATACATTTTGCATATCAAATGAGCTTTCGCGCGTTCTGATTGGCTAGTTGACTAGTAAATCTGACGCATTATTTACTACCTGACTAGTAAATAATGCTTTTCAAACAGAATGATTCTCACAGCAAATTTGCTTTCAAAATCGACGAAATCAAGATTGAAAAAATCGTCCTCAGAAAAAGAAAAAAAGACACAAAATGTTGTATTTAACTTGAAAGGTAGGATTCCTTTATTATTTTACTGTGTCAAACATATTTACGGACAATTTAAAACTTATTTAAAAATCCGAAATGGCGAAACATTCACTTCAAACAAATAGCAAAAGCTATCCCAACTGTTGAGTAAAACCTTACCGTGATATTCTTTGAAAACCATTTTGTTTTGTATCCTATAGGTATCTGAATTTGTACGATACCATTTCTTTTGATATGTCATGTTTTCATTGCTGTATCAGGTGTCCTGCCGATGTATTGTTTTTTCGAAACTTGTAAAGTGAAAAGTGTATTAAAACTTTATTTTTATAGGCAGTCGAGCAATTGTTTTACATCCCACTTTACCAATTCCCTCAGGCATTTCCTGAACAAATTAATGCTAAACAGAAACTATTTTTTAATTCTAAGTTTGGTAAAAAAGTCATCCCATCATTATGTCTATATTCCAAGCAGAAATCAAGAAAAACAACTTTGCAATAAAGCAATAAAGTCGCACAGGAAGTCATTTTGAAAGCGTGCGTGTGCAAGCAACCCTGCAACACTATAACAGCAACCGTAAAATCGGCCGAAAACAGTTTTATTTTTGAATTTTAATTATTAAACTGATATTTGGATATTTTATTTTATTTATTAAAAATTTATACTAAAACAATTATTCGCCTCAGGCTCAGTGATTACGGTGAATACTAAGAGGCCTAGGGACTAGGCTGTGAATATTCACCTCCACTTCGTCTCGGCGAATATTCACCGGTAATCACTTCGCCTTCGGCGAATAATTGTTAATGCCCTAGCCGACGGCGCGAAGCGCCGTGCGAGGGTACTAATTCCGCCCGGCTATTTACACCCGGGGAAAGAAACGCACTAACGAAGTCTAAAGTCATCAAATATCGCGGGCGCATGCATAGAGATTATAAATAACACTAGAGGAGGCATCGAGGTTAAAAATTGGGAACGCAGCTAATGGGGGCATATTCAAGTCCCGGATATAAAATCGTGTTCTGATTGGCTGATTTGAAACTCGTCACCAATGGAAACATGAATACACATCCGGGACTTAAATTTGCCCCCAATAGCCGCGTTCCCTTTTTTGACTGAATTAAGATTACAATGCCTCTTCTCTCTCTCCTCCGCAGAGGCTTTAGTATACATTTCACTACATTTTACATGGCGGATCTTGGAACACGAGCGTAGCCGTTGGGCGAAGGAGCGCAGGGGCCTCTTCTAGTGTTATTTATAATCTCTATGGGCGCATGGCTCACCGTTCATGGGTGGTCATCCTCATTGATCTCAAAATATGTGGATTTTACTACATCCCGGCCGTTCTTTGTCAGTGCCCGCGATCACAATTAGAATTACCAGCGGTTGAGTTCGCAACTCAATATTCAAACATTTTCAACCAGATAAAAAAAGATTAAAACTTTTTTAAAGCACTTTAGATTTTATACCGATCCTAAACACTAACCGGCCTAACTTTTAAGAGTTAAGAAAGGAAGAAAGAAAAAAAATTAAAAAAATTGAGAAAAAGAGCTAAATCAGATAATAAATGTTTGGCATCGATCCCGACCCCGTTTCACTTTCGGTACGCAGCGCCTTTACCGCTTGAGCTAACGACAAACTTGGTGAAGATTACCGCAAACAAAAGTTTTTATATTGCTACAAAATACGAAATAACTCCCGTCTGTCCAGTCACTTGGTTATTTTTTATTTGAGTTGCTATAAATGTTACTAGCTCATATAAGATCTGTTAAATTAGTGCTAAAACATAAACATTTTTGTCAAAAAATTAAAAGGCAATATGTCTGGATCAAATAAACTGACTAGAAGCAAACTGATATCTTGAAATATAGATTAACATGCTGACAAACTGTTACAGTTTAATCAAGTTATAAATTCACATCGAGTATTATATAATTTATATTTGGCCGTTAAGATGTTTTCTTTCAAACATTGTGATTTCAGGAAACACTCGATGTTATCATCATATACCGCTGATAATACTAATTGTGATCGCGGGCACTGACAAAGAACGCCCGGGATGTAGTAAAATCCAAAATATGTAGCGGACTGTCGTGAGTACATTCTCGTACCCAGAGCCCTTCTTACGCGTGATGCGACGAGGGGCTCTGGCCAAATCCATAACCGGATACCATAAAAACATGGTAAGAAAACAATGTCCAGTGTTAGAACTAGCCAATCAGATGCCAGTTCGGAATATGGATTTGGCCAGAGCCCCTCGTCGCACCGCGCGTAAGAAGGGCTCTGGGTACGAGAATGTCGTGAGTAGTGAACACTGATTGGTCAAATTTGAAATTTGCATTGAACGACTGCATTGACGACAGCAAAATAACAAACATTTCTTGCAAGTTGTATTTTTGCAAGATTTTGTAAATTTTAAAACTTTTCTGAGAGCCAAAAAAGTCTAAAAACGTCTAAAAGAATAGAGCAAAGTCGCCGACGTTTATAATGAAGGTAAGTTTGTTTTAATATTGATGTATTGTTTGATATATTTATAACTGATAGTGGTGGGCGATACTGCAAATATCGAACTGATACTATCATTGCGTGTATAACTGAAAAAAGACAGCATATAATTTCAGTGTAGTTTTATTAATTACCCTTTCTTTTGCATATTAAAGTTATTATTATTATTAGGATTTTATTTAAAAACACGGAGTCCAATTCACATAGTGTGCTCTTCCCTGGAGCCGTGCAAAACTACCAAATATATGTAGATAACTATAATAAAAACAATTAAATAAGTAGCCTATAATTAGATTAATACAATTAAATATATACAATTAAAGAAGTAATTTATAAACTAAGCTATATGAGACTTATATTCAGCAATTGATTTAGCATTAATCGCTTCCACAGGCAAGCTATTCCACAGAACAGTTCCCCGATAAGTAAAGCTTTTTTTGAGAGCCTCAGTCTGAGGTCTAGGGACGAATTGTTTAGAACTAGAGCCTCGTAAATTATGGTTGTGAACCAGATTAACGGACGTAAATTTATCCGAAAGATAATCTGGAACCATCTTATTCATTGTTTTAAACATAAGCGTTTTAAATTGCTGAGATCGTCCTTCTAGCTAGATTTGACCAATTTAATTCACTTAGAACCTCGTGTGAGCGGACACTATAGTGAGAACCATTAATAATACGAGCGGCTCTGTTTTGCAATTGTTGGAGTTTTTGTGCCAGACCCTTACCCAAACTACCCCAAACACTACTGCAATAATCAAAATGTGGTTGAATCAAGGATTTGTAGATTAAAATTAGGATACGACGCGGAAGATATGATTTTAATCGCCTTAAAACTCCAATTATTTTGGTAATTTTTGAGGTAATTTGAGCAATATGTTCTTCCCACATCAAGCACTCGTCCAGCTCCAGGCCCAAGCATTTGTATTTTTTAACTCGCTCAATGATATTGCCATCGATGGCCACTGTTGGTTGACTTGGTAAGGTAGCTAATTTGTGTCGAGTTGCGATGAACATACATTTTGTTTTAAGTGTATTTAGACTGAGCTTATTCAGAGGAGGAGTGAGGGTCTTCCCACAATGCATTGCGTCTCATTATTATTCACAATTACGATTTTTGGCAAACGTTAACGAAAAAGTTGTTGAAATATATTGCGATTTTTGGCTCTGACGATCTCGTTTTTTCGAAGGTATGTGATGATAATTGTTTTGTTTGGACATCTAATTAAACAGTTTTATATTTTTTTGGTATAGATATTGCTTTTTAGTTATGCTAATTACGCATTGTATTTATGCTTGTTTCGGGTCAATGGACACGCCAAAAAAATGGCTTTGAAATAACGCAGGAGCGAACTACCTTTTTTAATGAGAAAAGTAAAAAAAAACACGTCATCAAATTTAGGAAGACTTGCTCTTTCTGTTGGTTCTTTAAAACGCTAGATCGCTCCTCCAAATCGACAAGCAATCGCGGTTTGAAAATGGGGTATTTTTGCTATATTTTAATGCCGATGGCGGGAATAGACCGGGTGTTGATCATTATGGCGCGAAGGCGCTATTTTCTATATCTTTGAAACATACGCATGTAGTTGTTACATATTTTGAGTGTAATGTTACCTTTACAATTATTAAAGGTCAGAATGTTAGTTTACTGTATTGACTGTATTTTTGTCATTTTGTTATAGAATTCGGACATGGAATCATGCAGATAGTAGTGATGTTGTCATTGTTAGTGACGAATGAAATGATACTGCCATATTAAAAGCGAGTATATACGAGGGTATATACGTCTAAAGGTGATACCCCAGGAAAACCTAATAATAAGAGACACAAAATTTCACGTTTGAAGAATTCAACATCAAGTCGAACTTTGTTTCAGAGTCCTGGAACATCACCAAAGGTATAAAAGTACAAAGGTTCACGCCGGGTCAGCTCTTCCCAAAAATCGGCCATCTGATATAAACTTTTTCAATATATTTTGGATGGACATGAAACTTGCTACATCAATATAACTTTCCATTCCGAACAATCGTATGTTTTTTATTTTTGAGATTTAACGGTTTTTGGCGGGAAAATGACGTCACGAAACCTCCAGTTAAAATTTATTTTCAATATCTTAATAGTTTTTAAGCAGAATGTGGAAGATCATGTCATGAAGAGTCCAAAACTGAAAAGAGATTTTAAATATCTTAATCTAATCACGAGATACAGGGAGTTTAGAATCGAATTTTCCACCATTTTGTTACTATTTTTAGATTTTTCACGGTTTTTATAGTGAAATAACTTTGGATTAGGTTTAGATATTTAAAAACCGTTTTCAGTTTTGAACTGTTCATGACATGTTCTTCCAAATTCTGCGACAAAACTATTAAGATATTGAAAGTAAATTTTAACTGGAGGTTTCGTGACGTCATTTTCCCGCCAAAAACCGTTAAATCTCAAAAACAAAAAACATACGATTGTTCGGAATGGAAAGTTATATTGATGTAGCAAATTTCATGTCCATCCGGAATATATTGAAAAAGTTTATATCAGATGGCCGATTTTTGGGAAGAGCTGACCCGGCGTGTTTTTACAAATATAAAATACAGTACGACTGTACAAAAACATTGTATTTTAAACCCTTTAAGTGGCAATACGCCCTGATGCACCCTACTTTAGTATTTTACTCTGTCTAACGCTAGACCATTTTACTCCTCAAGTGGAGAGTGCTGTCACTCAATGGGTTAATGAGACAATGAGATGTTAATGGGGGGGGGGGGCTAAAAGTTATTATCATAGTAACAATAACATTGTATTTTAATGCTTTTTTGCCTGCGAGAATTTCTGTCCATAGGCGTACGAGGCTGGGGGTTGCAACCCTCCAGTCAGTGTTCAGTTGGGCAGGTTTCTGCTTTAAAAATTGGGCAATTGTTTTAAGATTGACTTCAAACAGAATTTCTGCAAGTCTGCATAGGAGTTATGTTCCTTCTATTTTATACCTCTTGTTCATCTATAAATAAACTCATGACAATGTCGGGCAATTTCTGTCCACCCGTACGCCAATGATATTTTTCAATGCTGGGAGTGGCATTTCAGAAAACCTATAGTGCACAAATTTCCTGGAGAAGCATGCCCACAATCCTGGTAAAAATCCATGAGTTTCTTTGTTGTTGTCTAATGGTGCTGGCACTGACATTGCCTCCCTCACTTTTGCTGTTTGTTTTGTAGTTTCCTATCACAAAGATTAAACCGACACCTCCAAAGAAATTCCCAGTAAAACTTCATAAATGGACATGCAAGGAAGATAAAGCATTCATTGAATTCATATCTGTTGCAGATAATCATGCGAATGATTGCAATTGAAGAGGTTTACCAATTATGTAATACCTCTAGATTGTTTTAATACATCATTAATTAAGCTCATATACTATTCATGTGTACTGGTGAAATGAATGTAATGCAACATTTTAAAAACTTCTCTTTATTTGTGCACATAAAATTTTTTTTAAAAACCATTTTAATTATCTTTAAGTACAGTAATATTATGTTAACATTTTTTCGATTTTAAAATAAATAAATTTTATAAACATCAATTATGTAGTGTGTGATCTTTTTATTAATTTGTGATGAGCAAGAGAAGACTATACACTGAAAATCGTGAATACCATACATACCATAAACCTCCGAATATAAGCCCCCCGCCCCCCCTGTATAAGCCCCCCTTGTGTAAGCCCATCAAAAATCACTTACGAAAGAATATAAGCCCAGTGCTTATAGTTGGAGGTTTACGGTAGATTGTCAAAAAACTGCAGAACTGATAAGATGGTGTCCATGGGATACAATACTTATGGTATAATGGGTCATTCCAGAAAACATCCATACCACCCCCACAGAGGAAATAGGAAGTTAACCCCCCTACCCCCTTCGGATGTCCTAATACATTTACTATTATCAGAAACAAATTTTTCTCCCCCCTCCGGACGGCAGAACTTTCCTCCGTGGGGGGAGTATGGATCTTTTCTGGAACGACCCAATCAGGGAAGTGACGAAAACACACGCAGTACAGGAAAACCGGGGTAGGGCCAAGACTGTACCACTACAGGTTCCCCAGCTCTATCCTTACAAAAAAAAAGAAATGTCAGTATTACACCAGACACCAATATACTATTTTGCAGCTTCTGCTAAACATTTTGTTTCAATGTTTTTTAACCCATTGAGTATTTGAGTGTCAGTACTCTCCCCCTGATGAGTAAATAGTCTAGTGTTAGACAGTAAAATAATCTGGCGTTAGGCAGAGTGAAATAATAGACAACTGGTTGATCATTTAAGCATAGATAACTGGTTGATCAATATAAATCCTTGCAATGCATCACACAGTAGTCAATACATTTATATATAGTGTCATGATAGTGCTGAATCGCCTCCATTTCATTCTCTACAATGCTATCACTGGGTGCTTCTTCCATCATTTGGTGTGTATGAATGTGTGTCAGGGCAAACAGGATTTATTGGTAAATTAAAACAGCTACAATCAGTTGGCTGATGTAATTCTATTGGTGGAAGTACACTATCCAACTCATCATCTTGACTATTTGGGATGTTGAAATGTCAAACTCCCAACAACATAATATTGTTATATTCTTCGTTTATACCTCCTTCCCGTGGATCATTAGGGTCGAAGAACTACATGATATGAAATAAAAATACGTTTTTAATAATACTGCTGTATTTTTAATACAACATAGGAGGATTTTTCTATTTTTATTTAATATAAAAATCATCTCACCTTAAAAACACAACTAGAATGAATTTGTACCAGTGCAGGACTACCGCAATCAGCGAACAAATTCATCATTTTTTATCCCGTTAACCACAGCTGGACAAAGGACTATTCATCGAACTATCCATAGAACTATAAACATGAACCTCACGACATTCAAGTTCATCACACGGTAATCCTTCCGAAATTAAGATTAAAGGCTGTTTTGACACACAGTGAACACACCTCAGAACACACAGAAGCTCGTGTCCACCCAAAAACGAAGCTTTCTTTCCATGCATAGTGCAAAAATTCACCATTTTACATTTTTTTTTCTATAAATCTTTTCTGAATTTCTTGAAACCCCGAGATGTAAACACAGCGAAAGCCGACCGAACAATGACGGCGCAGAGCGAGAAATCGATAATATGTAAAAAACCGCGCCTGACCGCGTTGCATGCCGGTATAGTCCTCACTCCTCCTCTGGAGCTTATTTATGTTAAGCCAATTTCTAAGCGAAAGTAAATCACTATTCATTACGGAGAGTAGTTGATTAATGTCGTTATCCGCATATGTCAAGCTAGTATCATCAGCATATAGATGTCCATCAGATATCAAGTTACAATTTGGTAAGTCATTAATGTACAACAAGAATAACAATGGTCCTAAAATGGATCCTTGAGGAACCCACATGTAACATCAGAGCTATCAGATGGGATATTGTTAACAACAGTTATTTGAGTACGTCCCGTTAAATAATCGCGGAAAAGTTCAATGGTCTTGCATTTAAAACCATATCGAGATAATTTATTTAGAAGAATTTCATGGTCAATGGTATCAAAAGCTTTTTTTAAGTCAATAAAAAGTATAGCATTGATTAAACCATTGTCCATATTAGAATACCATTTGTCAGTGATATCTAGCAGTGCTTTTAAAGTGGAATGCAAAGGCCTAAAACCAGATTGGGCATCTGGGAGAAGATTGTTATTACATAGGAATTCATAAGTTTGATGGAAGATCACTTTTTCAAACAGTTTTGCAACCACAGATAATACGGATATAGGTCTATAGTTATTGGGGTTCATTTTGCAATCTTTCTTATGAATTGGAGTGACCCTAGCTCTTTTCCAGTCATGTGCGACAGTGCCAGTATGGATTACCAAATTTATAATGTAAGTCAACGAGCTTATCGTGGTTGGCGCACTTGCTTTCAACAAACAAGCTGGAATGTTATCTAGACCATTAGCTTTACGTGTTGACAGTTTCTCAACTAACTTTGAAACTACTAACTCACTGACTATTAGAAGTTCAAATTCATTTTCAGGTTTGTTAATATGGTCATAGTTTGCATTTAAATTAACTGGGATTTTTGCCGCAAGTTTGGGTCCTATGCCTGTAAAATGCCTATTGAAGGCATTGCTTACCCCGAGCGGATCATTGATTACAGCATCATGAACGACGACTTTTTTCCGTATGAGTAAGGTTTTTATTCTTGGATAGTATAGTATTTATACCATTCCAAGTTTTTTTGCAATCACCCAGATTATCATTAAAAAACGAGTTGTAATATTGTGTCTTATTTTCCCTAATTTTAAAGTTAACTTGGTTTTTAAGATTTTTAAAGTTAAACCAAGTTGATTCCTCGTTAGTTAATACAGCAATTCGTTTCAAGCGATCCCTCTCCCACATCAAATGTTTGATCTCAATAGTTAACCAGGGTGCACAAGTTTTCCTAACTCGTCGTTTTTTAATTGGAGCATGTAAGTCTGCAATATTGAGAAATGTAGATTTCCAAAGATCCCATGCCTTGACAGGATCAGTTACTAATGATATTGACTGCCAAGCAGCTAGGTCTATATCACGCTTAAAGTTTTCGATATTGAAATGCTTATAGTAGCGATTTTCTAGTATTTTGGGTTTTGCTCTGCATCGGTCGCAATGTTTTCTTGAAGCATATATTAGACTATGGTCACTTATCCCAATATGTTTAACTCCTGATATGGAAAATTTAATTGGTTCATTTGTGAGGAGAAGATCAATTAGTGTGGACGAACTACTAGTGATACGCGTTGGTTCCTGGATAAGTTGACTATACTGGTACAATTCACACAAATCAAGTAAATGTTTTGTATTATTATCGACATTGTTGGCTGCAACATTGCAATTTAGGTCACCAAC